TTTTTTTTCTCTGTAATTTTATTTTTATTGTATTTACAAGGTAAAAATTTAATTTTCAAAAAGCTACAAAATAAAAAATCTTTTTTCACTTGTCTTCTTGCCCCACTCCTATTTCCCTTCCCCAGTTTCTTGACTTTGAGTCTGATGTACATGATTTTTAAACAAACCACCTTGTTCAGTAACTCTCCCCATGTCAAAGAACCATAGAGACATAAACTTTTTGCCCTATATCAGAGCTTAATAATTGTCGTGCTATGATACACTGTTGTGCCCTGAATGGGTTTTAGGTATACTGATATATTGAGCCCCACAGCTTTAATGTTTGGGGCCTTCAGGTGATTTGACTGTGTCCTAAGTAGCAACCTCCATTTACTGTAGTACCATGGTATAAAAATACTGTTGTTATTAATGTGTACCATAAGGTGAAAAGGATTCTAGCTGACGTGATGGTCTCAGAAACTGAGTTATTTTCTCATATCTTATTTATAGAAAAGTGTTTTGGAAGTGAAGGTTTAAGAAATACCAGTTTTTAATGCTTGTTAATTCTTGGTATTAAGTGCATAAGTATTTCTAATTATTCTCTAGTTTTTTGACTTTGTTATCAGGCTAAGAATACTAGCTTTAGAAACTGAGTTGGGAAATGTTTTCTCCTCCTATTTTCTGAAAAAATTGTGTAGAATTTGTGTTATTTCTTCCTTAAATGTTTGATGGAATTCACCAGTAAAGATTTTTTTTATATAGTTGAAGCCGGGGTTCAATTTAATTTTTTTCCACAGAGTACTTAATTTTCTAGCATCATTTATTGAAATAGCTATTATTTTAACTTATTTAGTCATCACAATCCCATTGAGATTGGAACTTCATTTCTCAATTGGATGGGTAAAGTAACTGAAGCACATAAAGATTAACTTCTTAAAGTCACACAATAAATAAGTAGAGCTTCATCTGATAGCCTGAATGTAAGAACCAGACATTCTGGCTCTTTAGCTTATACTGTATTCTTAACCATTTTATACTGCCTCTCAATTCCATACTGACCTAATTATTAAGCTTAATTCTTAAGCTTGTAATTAGTCTTCCACCTTGTTTCTTTTCTTCAGTAATGTCTTAATTGTTCTTGGGCCATTGTGCTTCCATATAAATGTTAGAATCTTCATTCAAGGTTTACTAAAACAAAAATTTCATTGATATTTTGTCTTTAAAAACTAAGCAGTCATTTCTTAATGCCTTCAAACATCCAGTAAGTGCTTGTGTTTTTTGACTGTCTCATAATTCTTTTCCTTTAGTTTGTTTGGATTCGGATCCAAAGGAGATGCATGCAGTGTATTCGATTGATATGCCTCCTAAGTCTATTTTAATTTGTAAATTTCTTTCAATTAATTAATGAATTAGTAATCCCCCCCACCCTTTTCTTACTGGAATCATTCGTTGCTATCTTATTTATTCTGTAGAATTTTCCACAGCCTGGATTTTGCAGATTGTGTTTTTATGATATTTAACATGTTCCTCTTTCCTCTGTATTTTTTGTAAATTAATAGTTAAAGCTCAAGGCGTGATGAGATTCAGAACTTTTTTGGAGGGCAAGATACTTTATTTTTGGTCGTTCAGAGGAGGCACATAGTTTGTACCTGTCTTTCTTTTTTTGATATTAGAAGCCATTTGTTGTGGTCTTTGCCTNCATAGTTTGTACCTGTCTTTCTTTTTTTGATATTAGAAGCCATTTGTTGTGGTCTTTGCCTGGAGAGTCGCCATAACCCAGGGTAGCCATGGTCTAGGTGCCAGTGTGTTGGTCAAGTGACACACAAAGGAAGCAGCACAACAAAACATGTGAAATGACAGAAGCATTTTATTACTGCAGATCCATGAGAGAAGAGGGGTGCCCATGAGGGGAGGCCGATGGGAAGTCTAGAGGCAGTAGGGAACTTAACCATTGAGGGTTTGAGGGGAGAGAGATAGGAAGAAAGAGGAAGAGAGAGGACCTTTGGGCCTATGGCTTTATTAAAAACCCATGGGCATTATCCTTTTGGCTTTCCCAAGGGGGTTGTGGATTGGCTAGTTTAAGAAAACATGTGTGAAGAGGGAACTTACATCTCTCTGATGCTGACCAATAGATTTATAGTGGTCAGCAGCTGTGGGGTTTGTTGGTATGTGGAACAAGGGCTATTTTGCAGACAACCACATAGTGAGGGGAAGTTTTAACTAGGCCAAAGGTGGTGGGGTGTGACTGGGTTTCAGACAAGTTATGTGAGGCCTAAAAATGGATGCTAAGGCAGCAACTATATTAAACAAATTTATGACACTTGTATTTCAGTAGGGGTTGTAAGATAATAATATACCAATTAGAACATTTCTTCTTCATTTGTTAAATGGAAAATTTTACTGGTCTTTTTTTTTTGACTGCTGGTCTGTAAGGGGAGCTAAACCCTTGATCTTGTTGTTACCAGCATCACACTCTAACCAAATGAGATTTCACCTGTCTTTATGCTGATATTACCAATCATTTTGACTTCTCAAAATTTCATTTTCCAGTAGATTTCTCAGGCAGGGGTCATAGGAATAATATTTGCAGGCAGTTTGACTGGATTTTAGATTCTTGGCTTGAATTTTCTTTCCTAGGTGATCTTAAACATGTTACTTCATGTCTTATGGCCTAGTGTTGCTGATGACAATTTGACTTCCTCTCCCCTCTAAAGGATTTTGTCTTTTTGCCTAGATATTCAGAGCTGATTGGAAGCTTTGTGTGAGTGAGACTTTGGTAGACATCATGATAGATGATTAGGCATTGATCCAGCAATTTTATGTCCTCACAAATAGAGAGTATCTGAAGCTTTTTTCCTCTTAAGCTAGTCACTTTTCTTTCAGGAAAGTCTTTTTTTTCTTTTTTTTCCTTTTTGCCTTTTTTTTTACTGACCGGTAACAGGATTGCAACCCTCAGTGTGGCGCCCGTACCGGGGACCGGCAACGGGATCGCAACCCTCGGTGTTGCGCCCGCTCCGCACTCAGCCAGTGAGCGGGAACCGGTCTCCACATGGGATCCGAACCCTCGGCGGGAGCGCCACCGCGCTCCCAAGTGGCGCACTCTCCAGTGCGCCACCAGGCCGGCCCAGGAAAGTCTTATAAGTATAAACATGACACTAGATTCTAGGAGCCAATGGTTGAAGGATGGAGGCCTCACCATTCAGTGTACAAATTTTTACTTAAAATACCCACTTTTCAGTATGGTATTTTATTTACACTTTATCTGCACCTGGTGTCTCCTAGGCCACAGCCTCTCTGCTCTAAAGCAATCTCTTAAGCAAATTTTTTCTGTTAGGCTCAGGCAGGGACAGTCATATAGCCATTCATATTACTTACAGAGAATATTCTGTTTTTTCTTAATTAATTTAATAGTATTTGGGATATTACAGCCCAACAAAAGATAGGAAGGCCCTCTCCT